ATTTTACAGGTGAGGAAGCTGGGGACCAGAGCAATGACATGATTTCCACAAGGTCTTACAGCCCAACGTGACCGACAGCCAAGGGACAGAAGGGAAGGCCAAAGGACCATGTTGATCATTTTCATCCTTCCCCAGGCATTCTCCTCCGGACTTCCACGAAGGGCACAGTAGAGTCAGACGCTCTAACGCTCTCACTGTAAACTCGGGAGCAGCACATGCCTGCCTGCATGTCTGCCATGTCCGCCATCTCTCACAGAATCACACTTCCTGGACTGGGACAGAGGAGAAGGTGAGGCTTGCCTATTTGGACTATTTTATTTCCGGGATTCAGGTAAATATTTAGACACAGGCCCTGCTCCAGACACATTTATAATCTCTGTTTACTCTTCATCAGCTCCCATCCCTCCCTGGCCCCCCATGGACAATGGGTGCCTTTCACTCATTATCTTCACCAACATCTCTCCTTGCGCCAAGAACCAAAGAGGCAAGAAATCAGGAAACCACTGCCAGAGCGGTATTTTCCCACAGGTTATTTTCACAAAAGCCAGATAAGGCTTTCCGTTGGCATTACAGGTCAAGGAGGCTGGAGACCATCCTTCTTATCAATTCAGATGAGCTCACCTTTGCAGTCATCAACAACTTGAGGCCCCCAATCCATATGCATGGTCTCTCACACTCCCCCCCCCCACTGGCCCCTTTCAGATCCTCCAGGATCCCAAACTCCTTTTCACCTCAGGCCTCTGACCGTTCTGTTCCTAACAGGGTTGCTGGCTCCATCCCCAGTGTGGGGTGTGCGGGAGGCAGCCGATCAATGATTCTCTCTCATCATTGAAGTTTCTGTCTCTCTCTCTCTCCCTCTCCCTTCCTCTCTGAGATCAATAAAAATATTTTTGAGAGAGAGAGAGAGAAACACAGGCTCAGCCCTGGGGTAAAGGAAAGCACACACAGCTACCTGCAAATGGAAAGCAAGCAAAGCCGGAAGAGAGGGCCACCTGGGCTTGGCACGCACCCCCACCCAGGCTCATGAAGGCCCAGTCATTGTCTGCCTTATGCCTTCCTGAGCCTGACTCCATGGTGAGCTCACTGCCTCTTCTATGAGCATTTGCTTGTTCCCATTCTTCCTCTCTCCTCTGTGAGTTCCCACCGAGGTCTCAGGCCTGCTAGGCTCTTCCAGGACGGCCGGTGGCCACTCTGGTAGCATCCTATGTGGCTGAACTTTGATGGGATCATTAGATGTTAGCGACTTGCAGCTACAAGGAGATGCATGTTACTCAAGAGTGTTTAAGAAGCGTGAGAAGCTGTCCCCTTTCCTCAGAGAAAACTTCCACTGGGGTCTCTGGTCAGCCCGAAATGAAAGAATTCCTTGGTTTTCAGACAAACCTTTAGACCGTACCTATTGGTCTCCTAGATCTCCATCTCAAAGGATAAGGAGAAAGGGACCTGAATAACCAGAAGAACAGAGAGAGCCCTAGCGCTGGCGTTAATCGTGTGTGAACTTGGGCCACCCCTGGGGTTAATCATCACTCTTGCTGGATTCAGTCAGACAGGTGATGTGACAGTCCTTCAAGCAAAGACAAGAGCTAAACCAGAGAGTCTGCTGTGTGCCAGGCACTGTTCTGAGACTGTGCATGCGTCCTCACAACTTCAAGTAGGCACTAGTATCCCTGCTGTAGAGATGACCAGTGTAAGGCACAGAGATGTTTAGCAGCTTGTCCAGGGTCACACAGCTAGTTAAACGGCAGAGGCTGGATTCAAACCCAATGAGCATGACTCCAGAGCCCAGAACTGGGCAAGGGGTCAACGAATGAGGGTCTATGGGCCAAACCTAGCCCTCCACCTGTTTTTGTAAATAAAGTTTTATTTGAACATGGCCCTGCTATCCATTTATGTATTAACATGGCTGCTTTCACGCTAGCAGTAGAGTTGAGTCGTTGTTATAGAAATCACACGGCCTCCAAAAATAGTTACAGCCCGGCCCTTTACAAAGAAAGTTTTCCATTTTTACCCGAGACCATTTGATACACTCCTCTATGGCGACTGTCTAATAATAAAGGAAGGAAAGAAATTGGGATATTGGGAGACACGGGCATTCCGTTTTCAAGACCCTCCCTGGTGATGGACTGACCAGCCTGCCCACACCCATTTCCCTCGTGCTCATCCCCTCCTCTGTGGTGTGGAGTCTTAGAATTTTATTCCTGGGAGAGTCTTTGAGACCCTCAATCTGACTGTCTCCCCTTGGAGAGGAGACCCCCCTGAGGTTCAGGGTGGCTAATGACTTGCCTGACGTCACAAAGCTGGGACAAGCCAGGTGCTTTGATTCCTGTGAGGTCCCCACTCCCTTTGGAGAGCTTCCTTATGTGTTGAAGGGGGGTGTGGCAAGGTTGGCTCAACCCCATTGCACCCACTGCTCCCATAGAGCTGCCTCTGGTATGTAAACCAAATCTCCTCCAAAACAAGAGTGTCCCTGGAGCCCTGTAATTTCTGGCACCACTAGCCAAGAACGGGGGAATTTCCCCTTCTAAGCTTACACACTGCTTTCACCTCTCTCACATCTCCAAATAATCGATACAACACAGCTCACAGGCAGCTGTTTGCTAAAGGTGCCATCAACAAGGGAATCCTGGACCGCAAACCAGCCCACAGTGATGACAGGTATAGCTTCGTGGTTTCATGTTACTCGGTTGGCCTGGCTAGCCTCATGTGTGACTCAGGCTACTGTGGGCCTGCCCGGCTGGCTCCCTGTGTAAGCTGACTCCTGCAGGAACCCAGTCCTGGAGTTCCTGCTCCTCCTCTCCAATTGTCTCTCACGTCCAGCCCCAGGCCAAGGCGCCAGCCATTTCTCTCTCTGGGCCTTATCCGTGTTTTAGGAACAGGGTCTTTACCCAGAGCTCCCGGATCTTCACCTGGTGCAGGGCACAACCGCTCCTTTCGAAGTCCCCAAAGCTCCCCGACTGGCCTGTCCTCTGTCCAATCTCTTTTCAGACTTTAGGAGCTGTGATTTCCTCCTGCCTTTTTTCATGGCTGATGACCCAAGCCTTCCAGGCCTGGGATGTATCAACCCAAGGTCGACTCGGGTCCATCCTTCCTAAAATTCCCCAAGGATTCTCTTTCCCATGCTCCTCTGGTTGCTAACTCTTCCTCTAGCACATAGGAGGGGGCAAAGTGTCCCACTGGAGGGCCTTTCTTCCATATCCTACTGTTCCCATTTACTGAGCATTTGCCAAGCACAGTGCCGAATGATGTCCATGCAATGTCTCATTTAATCCTGATAAGAACCTTTTTTAGTATATTTTTTTTAATTTTGAGACAGAGAGGAAGAGAGGAGAGAGAGAAACATCAATATGAGAGGGCTGTCTCCCCCCTGCACACCCACTGGGGATCAAACCCACAGCCCAGGTATGTGCCTGGACTGGGAATTGAACCGGCAACTTCTCAGTGCACAAGACAATGCTCAACCAACTGAGCCACACCAACCAGGGCATTATTCTCCTCATTTCTAGAAGTAGAAATGGAATCTCAGGGAAATTCAGCAACTTGCCCAAGTCGTACCACTAGTAAATGTGACAGGTCAGATTTGCTGACTTCAAAGCCCACGTCGCTCTACTTTCTAGAATATTCTAGAAAATTCTAGAATTGGGAGAGACTTAGTGGTCACGGCTTCCCCATTTAAGAATCTCCCTTCCCAGCATCCCTAACAGATGGTGATGTTTTCAGTAAGTCTGACCAGATAGAGGAGAATCTACCCAAACAAGTGATTGTCAAACCTGCCTGGTCATCAAAAGCATCTAGGACACTTTAAAAAAGTGCAGATACCTAGGACTATCTTGTAAGGTGTGTTTTTTCCTCAGTCGGTCTGGGATGCAGCCCAGGGATCTTCATCTTTAGAAAACACACCCAGGTGATTCCGATACGTGGGCAGGTTTAGAAACCATGAATGCCACCTCCTGACCCCTTACGTAGATGCAAATTATCGTTGGGAGAAGAAAAGGTGAATTTCAGTCTCACAAGGAAGCAGTGACTTCTGCACAAAAAAAGAATTATGCAACGTTTCTCTGTTGGTTAGAATCACTCGATACTGAGACATGAGTAAGGAAAACACCATTCACAGAAAACCCCACAAGAACCCTTGAACTCTGCCTGCCTTGGGTGGGGCTAATTCCTCTTACCAAACAACTCTCAGCCCAGACCCACTCCTGGGCACTATCAGGAAGAGAGTCATCATTGCCGGTGAAGGTGTGGGGTGGTCCAGGCCTAGCCCAAAATGCCCGTCTCCTAAGGGGGGTTCTGCCTCATGCTTCCCCCTCATTGGTTTTCCCCAAGAGATTGGAAGCTAAGATCTTATCCCCAATAATTCTGTCATCATGGGGGGAGGGGGTCAGGAGGAGAAAAGGGGGACTGGATGAGCACTTGGCAGGTTTACTGCAGGGAGGACACTGAAGTATTCGATGGGGTGGGGGTACACTGTTTTCAAAATAATTAAACTTCAAGGTTCTCTTTAGCTATCTAACTCAGCAAACCTCCAGCCCACCAGGATTTCATGCCAGCCTTGCCTCTGACACCTGTAGAGCGCCTCTGTCCATAGAACTTCCTACCACACTGGAGGCATTCTAGATCTGCACTGTCCGCTGTGGTCAGGGATAGAGTGACCATCCATGAGGGACCCACCACAGAAGTCAGCCTCTATCCACACGCACCTATTAAGCACTTGAAATATGGAGAGTGTGATTTAGGGAAAAATGTTTAAGTTTATCTCATTGTAATTTTAATTTAAATAGCCATCCAGGCCAGCATGGCTCAGTGGTTGAGTGTCGACCTATGAACCAGAAGGTCACGGTTCGATTCCGGGTCGGAGCACTGCAAGGGAGTGAGGGTGAGCCAGGTGCCCATTATCAGGGCTCTAAGGCGGGAAGGAGGAATGACCGCCACCCCAACCCAAGGAGAACACGGCCTCCTTCAGGGAATATCGCAGTTAAGCGAACAGTATTTCAGAGAAAACTTACCGGCCACCACACCATACTTCGTCCTGCCAGGAAGAAGCCTCCAACGGTCCCACGATTGGTAGAAAACATAGCCTGAGGAGGAAAAGGTCAGAAGTTTAATAGAAAACTAGAACAGAGCGACCTTGCCAGCCAAAGGGACACACCTCCCCACAAGCTCCGCTTTCTTCTACCCACTTCACTTTCTGAAATACTTCCATGTTCCTCGCCCCCCGCCCCCCGGGGCTCCAGTATACTCAGACGGAGGAGGGAGGGCCCGACATTTGACAGACAAGGACACCGAGGCTCAGCTTGCCCTGGTGCTAACTCTGCAGTGAGCTTATGGTGTGGCTTCGAGCAACTGACTCCACCTGGGTCTGTTTGTTCCCGTTAGATAAGGGGACGTGGACATGTTTATGGCCGTTTTACAAACATACTGAAGGTGCATGATGAAGTGTCATGTTTTAAAAGCACCATTTGGTATGTGAATTCTACCTCAATAACACTGGGGGTCGGGGGGGGAGAAAGAGAGAGAGAGAGAGAAGTAGAAGAAGGAGGAGGAGGAGGAGGAGGAGGGAGAGGAGAAAGGGAAAGGGATGGGGAAGGGGAAAGGGGGAGGAAGAGGAAGAAGAGAAGAATGAGGAGGAAGGAAGGGAGGGAGGGAGGGAGAGAGAGGGAAGAGGGAAGGAGGGAAGAAAAGAAGTTATAAGAATGCATAGTTTGAACTTAATATTACATGAAAGACTGGGGCATGGGGGAAATGGAGAGATGTTGGTCAAAGGCACAGAGTCTCAGTTATAAGATGATTAAGTTCTGAGAGCTCATGTACGTCATGGTGACTATAGTTCATAATACTGTATGGCATCGTTAAATTTGCTAAACGAGTACCTTCTAAGTGCTCGCGCCACATAAAAATACTGTAACCATGTGAGGGGATGGATGTGTTCATTAGCTTGATTGTGGTCATCATTTTACAAATGATGACCCTCCATAGTGCTTTATGCCTTGTGCATGGTGCATGGTCAGTAAAAGTTAAATGAATGGGATTCTCAGTTCCCTCAGGTTCCACTCCTCCCCTTTCTCCAACACACACACACACACACACACACACACACACACACACATATATATATACACACACACACACATATACACACACACACACAGAGAGAGATGTTCTGCAGTCAGCAGCAGCATTTGGTAGGTGCTTTCTGGCGCATGCATAGCAGCTCATGCCCCCTGCCTCCCTTCTCCCCGCTGGTCACTCCCTACAAACAGGAAGACACCGTCTCCATGAGCACAGGATGCTCAACAGCAAGCTCGAATGTTCCAGACCCCACTCTGTAAACCACGGCAGGCGGAACGGTGAGGTCATGCAGGGAGCAGCACTTCGGGAATCTTAAGACCTGAGTTCTAGTCCCCGCTCTGATACTCGTGCATCTGAGCGACTCCTGGTCACCCTCTCTGACCCTCATCTGTGAAATGAAAATGTCGGGCTCCCCCAGGGCCCATTGCTACTCAGGCAACCAATGATGCCATTCGTGCGAAAGATCCCATAAGCCAGGGGTCAGCACATGTTTTCTGCTCATAAAAAGCGCCAGATAGTACATGGGTTTTGTAGGAAACCTATGATCTCCATCACACATCCTTCCTGTTGTGTTTTGTATTTTATAACTGCTTAAAAGTGTAAAGACCATTCTTAACTTGTGAGCCGCACAAAACAGGCTCTGAGCCAGATGTGGCCCATGGGCCATAGGGAACCACCCTTGGCTTAAAGGGTTTGAGGACAGCTTAATGAAATCTTCCAGAAAGAATAGGTTAAGAGATTGGGCCTAAAACGATACAAAAATCTCCCAAGAAACAAATTGAGAAAAAATGGAAATATATAGTTGATTCATGAGCAACATGGGGGTTAGAGGTGCTGACCCCCACAAAATTGAAAATCCACGTATAACTTTTGACTCCTCACTTAACTACAGTGGCCCCTCGGGATCCACGGATTGGTCCCAGGACCCCCGTGGGTACCAAATCCACAGGTGTCCAAGTCCCTTCTACAAAATGGTGTAGAACATTGAGTACAGTCAGCCCCTTTGTATTTGTGAATTCCCAACCAAGGATTGAAAACAGTTTTCTAAAGCCAAGCTGAGAAAGACAAATATCACATGATCTCACTTATTTGTGGAATATAATGAACAAAATGAATCGACCAACAAAATAAGACCCGAAGCAGGGAACAGACGGACATGCCTCCATGTGGGGTTGGGGGGACGGGAAGAGATAAACCAAAGAACTTGTATGCTTATATGCACAGCCCATGGACACGGGCGATAGGGTAATGAAGACTTGGTGGGTGGGAAGGGCCTGGGAGGAAGGGAGAGAAGGGGGTGGGGGGAATGGGAGATATCTGTAATACTATCAACAATAAAAAAATATATTTTAAAATGGGGGAAAAAGAAGAATATAGTGTCCTATCTGCAGTTGGTTGAATTCCCGGATGTGAAACCCCAGGATACAGAAGGCTGACCAAATATTTATTGAAAAAAAATTGACGTAGAATCGGACCCACAGAGTTCACACACATGTTGTTCAAGGGTCAAATGGACACTGAAGCATAAGCTCACGCCCCAATATGATTGGACGAGGCAGCATTGAAAGAGGATAAAACAGGACGAAATAATGTTGGAAGAGGTGGGATGGTGACAGGGGGACAGTAGTCGTGCCTTTTCTACGGTGAGGAAGCACAGAGGGGCTGGCTCGCTCTGTCTCTGCAGCTCAGGGGTCGTACAGGAGTCAGGACGCCTGTCCCTGAACCAAGCCACTCTTGATGCTCCAAGAGAAAACAAGAGGAATGTCAACGGGAAGGAACCCAGCACGTTCAGTGACAGGGTCCGGAGGCACTGGCTGATGGGGGAAGGGTGAACGTGGACAAATTCTGGCGGGCTCGTTAAACAGCCTTTAGCAGGACAAGTGATCCTGAATCGCAGATTTGTGAGAAGTGCAAACAGATCATTGTCAGGACTGGTGGGGCTAAATGAGATTGCTCAAGGGAACGAGATTGTCGGCGATTGCCTGGGAAACGGGCATTACGAGGCAGCTAGCAAAGGATGGGCTCTCATCCTGGCTCCAGCGCTTCTAAGCTGAGGGGGGGTAGGGAAGGGAAGGCAGGCCAGGTAGTGAAGTACCTGGTGCCGTGGAAAAGAGGCCCAGGTTCCAGGAACAGTTCCCTGCACTGCAACCTTGGACCAATCACAACCACGTGGGGCTTCAGTTTCCTCTTCTGTGAAGTGGGGACTCACATGCCTGCCCGCCCTGTTTCCTGTACTTTTTTTTTTTTTTTTTGGTCAAGTTGTCCTACCCAGCTAACCACTTGTGTCCATTTTACTTAAGAGAACAAAAGTAATTCAGGGCCTGGGTCATAGGCCCTCGAGGGCAAATAATAACAGTATTTCTAAAGATGTCTAGCACCCGTACTGAGCTTTCAGATTCATCTCTGCTGATCTTCACAACCACCTGGGGGAGGCAGACGGATAGGTAAGACTGTGTCCATTTTACAGGGAAGTAAACTGGGGCTGAGGCGGGCTACCCAAGGTCACGTGTCGGAAACCATGTCAAAGCCGTGACTAAACCTGAGAATCCCGCGCCTGGTTGCACACTTCAGAGAGGCTGAGGGTTTGGAGGAGCAGTCAGCCACACCAACCCCTTGTGACACCTGGGGAGGCTTTGAGTCACCTCTGCTTTCTACGGTTACTTTTAAAAAGAAATCTTCCTTTTATCCAAACACACACACACACACATACACACACACACACACACACACACACACACAAAAACCCTGTGGCCATGGCAGAGTTAATGTCCACCCTCCTCTCTCCCTGGCCTGCCACCCACCACAAACACCTTTGCGAGTGGCTGTGACTTCTGCACATTTAAAAACACTTCCTCGTCTGGGTGTGCCAGACTCCGTCACAAGTGAAATTTCCATATTCCCAGCTGCTAAGAACAAGTTCCTCTGGTTTCCTCCTCCTCCTCCTCCTCCTCCTCACCAGCTTTCCCAATGCTCACTCACTCCAGCCCCTGGGATCCCAGGGCACCAGGCCTTCAGGTCAGCCTATCCCAGGAGGGGGACACCAGGCAGCCCTCCCCTCGCACACACACACCTGCAGCGGCAGAGGCTGTGTCCTTCCCGGGCTACAGTTTCTTTCCCATCGGAATTGGATGACTAAGAGGCAGGACAACAGTCACCTCCTCCCAAGCCTGGGGACCCTCCCTGCAGCTACAGGCTGGCCCTCTCCTGCCCCTCACACCACTGACCCCCATCTCCCACCCTCCTTCTATGCGCACAGGCTCCAGGCGCCCACCTTCCGTGCTGGCCAGCACCCCTCTCCCTCTGCTCATCCACACTTGCCCCCCTCACCTCCCCCTGTGCCCCCTGACCTCCTCCTCAGCGCCTCCCAGTCATTTCCACTCCACGCGCTCGCTCACCCCTAAGGCCATCCTCCCTCCCCGCTGGCCCTCGCTCCCCATCAGCGTCCCAGGGCCCCCACCTACCCACAGCCCGACAGCCATCACCACCACGAAGTAGATGACGATGACGGAGATGTCGGCCGCATTGCGGATGCGCTCGTGGGGCTCGAGGGGCGCCTTGGTGACGGCGGTCGTGGGGCTCCAGGTGGTACTGTCCATGGCTGCGGTGGCGACCAGGTGTCCCTCCCTCCGAGGCCACTGGGTCCTTATAAGGCCTCCGGGTTAATGATCAGCCCGGGAGGAGGACGCCTGCGAGGTCGGGGCAGCCGGGAGGTGGTGCGTCTGTCGGGGACCCCTGCGCTGTGCTGTGCTGCGCCGTCGGGGAGCAGAGAGCGGGAGCGGTCCTGAGCTCGGAGCTGGGAGCGAGGAGCCCGCTGAACTGCTGGCGGGTCGGCTGCGGGCCGGCAGGTAAGGGCTTACCTGCCAGCGGGGAGGGGCCGGCCAGGGGGTGGTGCCCGCCTGGCACAAAGGCCCGCTGTGCTCCCTCCCGCAGCGGGCACGGGGCCGGGCCGCCGCCTGGACAGCCGTGGGGCCGGCCCCTCCCCAGCTGAGCGGGAGCGGCTCCATGGAGGAAGCGGCTGCCTGGGGCCAAGAGCCCAGGGGCTTCGGAGCACCGGGCACCTGCCCTGGGACCGGTTCCACGTCCTCTGTGGACCTGGCTGCTGCTCCACGTGCCAAATGGGTGCAGGACTCACTGTGCTCAGGAGTCAGCCAAGCTCCTGGCCTCCGTGTGGAACCTGCAGGGAGGATGGGAAGTTGGTGAACGCTGCTGGTAAAAGTTCCGCACAATTGCATTCCCTTGAAGGCTGGATGGCCGCCCACCCACCCACATTTCTGACTCCCCTTCGGCAGCCGGCAGCCCCAGGGGCACTGTTCGCCGCTGTGCGGAGGAAGAAACGGAGACCAGGCGAGGGAATCCCGCTAGGAGCTATTTCCTTGCCCCGCACTTTGCCCAATAAGGATTCGGGGTCCTTCGCAGGCAGGCAGGAGGGAAAACACTAGAGAATCCTCTCCAAGGAGGTCACCAAACCCTGACCCTTCCTGGGGGCTCGATGCATCTGCAAACACACGTCTGAGCCGAAAGTCAGGGCTCGGAACAGAGACAGCAGAGAGAGGAGGCACGAGTCACCCACGATCACACGTCGAGCCCTGAGCCGGTGATAAATGTGGCCCCGCCACCCAGGCCAGGGCAGTCCCAGTTCAGAAGATGGTTGGGGGATGCTCTGGGGCGGGGGGGGGGATGCTGAGGGCACAGAGCAGCCCCTTTTGGGTGGGGGTCGGGGGAGCCTTGCTGGGGTGATGAGGTACAGGAAGGGGAAGGACCACACAAACCCTGCCCAGATGCTGTTCTGCCTCAGGCTCCCTGGATGCCGCCAGCCGACATCCACCCAGGACCCAAATGCCAGCAGCCTGTCCTTTCGCCCCTCCTGCCTCTGAGGCCCAATCCCCTCCTCCCTCATCAGTGCTCCATCTTCCTACTGAGGCTGCGACTTCCCCGTTTCCCCCCACCCACCACCCCAGGACTGTAAACTCTGTGGCAATGGGCAGGGCCCATTATGATGCCTGACCACGGGGAGCAGGAACTCTCTTTCCAGGGAGCCTGGCCGCCGGGGGCTCCTCTCCAAGCTCCTTTCAAGCTCCTCCACCGTGGATGCTTGAGTAGCTTGGAGTGCCTCACCTATCATCGTGTCCGTTCGTTCCCGCATTCAGCAAAGCTTTCGTACCCAACTCTGTGCCAAGCAGAGTCCCTGCCCTCAGGGAACTAGCTTCTGGTCTGATTGGGAAGCAAGCCCATCGCCAGGGAAAATCCAGCCCTGGGTACTCCCACCCCCCCACACACACACACCCCAACCCTCCGCGCTGCAGGCAGCGGGCCCCTGCCGAGTTCCAAGAGGGAAGTCTGTGGAAATGAGCAAATCCACAATGTGAGCAGGAGTGAGAACTGGAAGTGCTAACGGACCTCAGAGGAGGGACTGGGACCATCCGTTGATCTGTCTAGGAGAGCAGAACATGGGTGGCCAGAGAAGGAAAGGGATGGTAGCCCGGGGAGACCAGAAAGTGCAATCATTCATTCATTCATTCATTCACTCTTGCAACAGAAGGGCCGCTTCTGAGGCTATGGCTATAAACAAGACTTACAGGATTCCTGCCCTCACAGGGCTTCCAGACCATCGTCAGAGACAAACACCTATAAGACCAGCACTAGGATCTGTGTTTTGAAAGAGAAGCACTAATGCTCCTTCCTAGCAAGGATTTTGACCTGGGGATGGGTGAGGTTGGAGGAAGGCCTGGAAAAGCGCTGGTTTGGGCAGGGCCCTGAAAGAGAAGGAGTGAGTCAGGTAGGATGGGAGTGAGTGATGTACCGGGAAAGGGCAAGTATGGGTACAGGGAGGCTGTCCATAATGTATAGGGAGGTAATAACTAAGGTGAAAAATTAAAAAATAAAACTATGGCCCAGCCTGTGTGGCTCAGTGGTCGAGCATCGACCCATGAACCAGGAGGTCACGGTTCAATTTCCAGTCAGGGCACATGCCCGGGGTTGTGGGCTCAATCCCCAGTAAGGGGCATGCAGGAGGCAGCCAATCCATGATTCTCTTTCATCATTGATGTTTCTATTTCTCTCTCTCCCTTTCTCTTCCTTTCTGAAATAAATTAAAAAAATATTTTTTTAAAAAAAATAATAATATCTAACATAAATGAGAGAACATATGGAAAACATTTTGGTGCACTGCCAAGCACATATGCAGTGCTCAATAACACGTTAACTTTTATCTTTATCATCATCACTTTATCTAGACCTCGGGATGTGGACCCTTGAGCTGGAGCCCTGCCCTCACAGAGCAGGAGACAGGTACAAAAGAGAAAACATATACCGTGTGTTGGACAAGTGGAACAACTTTGGTCGTCACAATGACAGGAGTATTGAATCAAAGGCAACTTCAAAATCCTTACGAGGATGAGTAACTCGGTGTTATTTCATGATCCCAGTTGGCACGCGTCCGTGAAAGGATGATGTCTGACACCGTAAGCTGCCGCTGACTAAGAAGGATGAGGCTTCCCTGGAGTAGAAACCCTGGGATGGAAAAGAGCGATCCTGTTGGGGAAACCACATTCAGTGTCACATACGCAACGAACAAGACACCTGTCAAAACAGCAGGAACAGAGTCCCTGACATTTCAGGGCCTGGAGCCATAGCGGCTGCCGACAGTGGATGGTTCCAAAGGCCAGAGAAGCATGAGTGAGAAGCACGGAGCGGATTCTGAGGATCCTGAACTCGGCTCTGAATCAGCCCGCAGGATTTTCTCCGCCAGAGTCTCACCATCCATCACCAAGCCCAATAGCAAAAATAAATAGTTTGTGTAAAAGGAAACACAATGGCACACACACATACTAACAGACACCTAAAATAAAGTCCATGAAAAAGTTAAACATATACACAACCTTTGACCCAACAATTTTAGAATTTGTGCTCCAGATAGGCTTACGTAAGGACAAAAACGACCTTTGTTCCAAGTTATTTATTGCCGCAATATGTATAATGGGAAAAGATAAAGATTAGGGGCAACCTAAATGCCCATCCATAAAGGACCAGTTACATATGTCACAGTTTATCCACCTAGAGCAACCGTGGGCAAACTACGGCCTGCGGGCCGGATCCGACCCATTTGAAATGAATAAAACTAAAAAAAAAACAAAGACTGTACCCTTTTATGTAATGATGTTTACTTTGAATTTATATTAGTTCACACAAACACTCCATCCATGCTTTTGTTCCGGCCCTCCGGTCCAGTTTAAGAACCCATTGTGGCCCTCGAGTCAAAAAGTTTGCCCACCCCTGACCTAGAGGAACAATACGTGCAGCCATAAAGAAATGAAAGCTCTAGCATATTGGTATGGGTTGGTCTCAAAGGTATTTTGTTAGGTTAAAAAAAACAAGGTGTGCAAAACGACATATAATATGCTAAAACTAGTGTAAAATATCAGGAGGTGGGGGAAGAATATAGGTACATATTTGCCTACAAGTGCATTAAAAAAATATCTCTTGGGAAAAATATATATCTCTTGGATATACAAGAAACTGGCAAAACTTATTGCCTTCAGGGAGAAAATTTGGAAGACAGGGGAGCTTTCTCTATATATGCATGTGTACTTTATGAACCATGAGAATGTATTATTTACAAGATCAACAGATAGGAGGAGGAAGGGATAGAGAGAGAGAAAGAAAATAAATACTACACTAGGATCACTGAATAGCCAAGCAAGCAGGGACCTCAGAGATCTTCAAACTTGACTCCAGGATGTATTCACTGACTCAGCAAATGTCACCTGAGTGTCCTACAGATGCCTGGCACTGCCCTGGGTACTGTAGGAGGAAGGTGCAAAGATGTGGGAGAACACAGTCTAACGGAGAAAGACCTTACAGTTTACCAGTGAGAAACTGAGGCCCAGAGAATAGACGGACCTGAGTCAAGGTCACCCAGGTCGCTGGTGGGAGAGTTAGGGACGAAATCCATGTCTTCAGGCTCCTGTTTGGCTCTATTATCTGTACGGCTTAAAGGACAGTGAAGGAAATAGACTTGATGACACACTCAATATTTGCAAATGTGAAGAGAAATGAACCACAGAACTGGCTTTCCTGGAGAGAGCTTTCTTCTCCTACACAGTTTCAAACAGACCTTGTCCCTGATGAGTCACCAAAAATGTTCAGACGAAGCAATAAGGCAGAAACTCAAAGAATGATCTTCAGTCTGGCTGGTGTGGTTCAGTGGTTGAGTGTTGACCTATGAACCAGGAGGTCACAGTTTGATTCCCGGTTAGGGCACAGGCCCCGGTTGCAGATTCGATCCCCAGTAGGGGGCGTGCAGGAGGCAGCTGATCAATGATTCTCTCTCATCATTGATGTTTCTCTCTCTCTCCCTCTCCTTTCCTCTCTGAAACCAATAAAAATACATTACATTTTTTTAAAAGTATGTGTCCACAAATTATACATATACCAAATCATCACATTGTACACTTTAAATATATACAATTTTATTTGTCGATTATACCTAAATAAAGTTGGAAAGAAAAGGGGGGCGGGGAATGTGCCCAGAGAGAGTGTCCTGGGAGAAAAAATACCCTAGGAGGGAACTCAAAATGCGGGCTTCCAGGTCCTGCTCCATCCCTGCCTCACAGCGTCACCCTGACAAATCCTTTCCCCTCTGTGACCTGCTGCTTCTCTGTGAAACCGTGAGCTCTAGCCACACGCCTCCTCCTGCACCTCCCTGGTCTCTCAGCCCATCGGCATCCTTCATCCTTTCCGGGGTCCCGGCATCGTGCCATGACCCCTCTTCCCACATTTCCAGCTGTGCCAGACCCAGGTTCTGACCGGGGCCCAAGTCTTGACAGCCTGTGGGCGGAGGGATGGAAAGGAGATTCCAGGGTGCTCCGCTGGCTCGGCCCTTTCTCCGCGACCTTTAGCAAGGCCCATAACTGAGCCTTATCGCACGGTAAGTCTG